AAGCACATTATGAAAATGATTTGATTCTACTCTCTTCTTTAAGTGAAAATATAGATCAGTTCTAGTTTAGTTCTAGTTCAGTTATAATTCAGTTCTAGTTCAGTTCAGTTCAGTTCTAGTTCAGTTCTAGTTCAGATCTAGTTCAGTTCTAGTTCAGTTCTAGTTCAGTTCTAGTTCAGATCTAGTTCAGATCTAGTTCAGTTCTAGTTCAGTTCTAGTTCAGTTCTAGTTCAGTTCTAGTTCAGTTCTAGTTCAGTTCTAGTTCAGTTCTAGTTCAGTTCTAGTTCAGTTCTAGTTCAGTTCTAGTTCAGTTCTAGTTCAGTTCTAGTTCAGTTCTAGTTCAGTTCTAGTTCAGTTCTAGTTCAGTTCTAGTTCAGTTCTAGTTCAGTTCTAGTTCAGTTCTAGTTCAGTTCTAGTTCAGTTCTAGTTCAGTTCTAGTTCAGTTCTAGTTCAGTTCTAGTTCAGTTCTAGTTCAGTTCTAGTTCAGTTCTAGTTCAGTTCTAGTTCAGTTCTAGTTCAGTTCTAGTTCAGTTTTAGTTCAGTTCTAGTTCAGTTCCAGTTCAGTTCTAATTTAGTTAAAATTTAGTTCTATTACCGTTCAACAGTGGGGCAGAATGGAAATTTTTTGGAAATAAATCTGGCATTTCTAAACGGCTGATCCGATCGGGATAAAATTTGGCGTGAGCGTAGCCAAGGAGTATTCGAGTTTAAGTTTTGAAGATGAACCCTGCAGATGCTCCAGGGACGGCGCTGTGGCGGCTCAAAGTAGGGTACCTACGACATGTAAAATTTTTAAACTCGTGCCATTTTTTTGTTTTTCACCCAAATACAAAGATTTTTATATTTTGTGAAAGCGCTCGACGAGATCTTGAAAAAACATGCTTGGACATACTACTTATCTCTTATAATATCCGAGTTATAGGCATTTAAAAATTTAGTGATACAAAATTTACCATACCTTGGTCCGCCTTTTTGTGAATACCGGGCGTAATTTTGCACCTAATGGACTCAATTTTTTCTTGTTAGTTAGACAACAAAATTCCAATCCAATCAAATCCAATAATATACAAAAAATTTCAGACCAATATTGTTTACAGATCCAAAAATATACGTTTTTTAATTTAAAAATTCAAAAAATTTTAGTTTTTTGGCGTTTTTTTGCCAAAAATGTGTCTTAACTCTTTTATTAATAAAATAAAATTTTTATTAAGAACATATAACAATTTTATAGTTTTCTAAAAGGTATCTTTACGCAGAACGCTTTGGCGTAAAAAACTTGTCCTATTTTTTGAAAATGTTGCCACTGCGTCCTTCCGAATATGACCTATTTTTTATCAAAACTTCAACTTTGGGCGACATGTTCTAAAATCCCAAAGCTGGGATCAGAAAACTGAAAGCAGTTTTGGAAACCTCAATATGTTTTCTATTTACTCCAAAAGTATTTTCCCAGCCCTGAAAGAAATGTGGACCCTATGGGCAAAAAAGTAAAAAATCCCATTTTTGGGATTTTCATTCCTATTTTTGGGAATTGCGGGATGCCCTTTGACCTTTTAAATTTTTTTTTGCATATTCTTATTTGAAATGACAAATTTAACAAGCGTTGAAAATTTCATTGAGTTTTGTTCATAAATAAAGATTTTGTCATATATTACATATTTGTTTAATTTCTAAAACTATGATTTATATCAAAATTTTAATAGGATCGCAGATAGCTACAACAATTTAGTCCATATTTATCCCTTAATATCATTTTTTAGTTAGATATGGAAATTCTCGACCCTTTACAAAAAATTTCAAGCCAATATCTCAATTACATTCAAAAATATGTTCATTTAAACCTGTGTCCTTTAATTTCATCTTTTTCATATTTTAGTATTAAGTATGACAGAACATACATTTGGTGTTGAATAAAATATTTGGACAATTTTTAAAAATTATTTAGTTAATTATTTTATTATAATATTGTATATAAAATAAAAAAAATTATAATTTTATTATGAGCCACGCACAACAACACCTAAATCACCCCACACAAACCACCTTTCCCGCCCACCGAAATATAAAACACAATTTAATACAATATCATCAGTTAGTATAATAGCTTTTTTTATTTGAAATGTTTATCTTAAACATAATACAATTAATTCTTACAACCTACTTATATAGTTAATTCCTAACACTACTTATTTTCTATAAAATAATCTGTCATATCGGTATACATATCCAGAAGGTAATATAAGTCCTTTAAATCTTCCTTGTTTTGAGATGATAGAGTTTCATAACAAATCCATCTTTTTCGCATAGTTGAAAGAACAGGATCAGAAGATAGAAGTAAACTATTAAAAATATCTTCATTCTATGATTGCCTGGAGCATTTTCTTGAGCTGAATAGTTGAACATGCTTAAAATCTCGATTCCTCGCTTCCTGGGCTTCTTCTGTTAACTCTCCAAGTGGAAGAATATTCGATTCAATTATTATTTGACCATGACACAATACTTTGTGTACTGTTGGTGTTAGTTCCCTACATGGATACAGAGATACAAGTAATTTAGAAATTTCAGATGTGTATTCCCCAAATCGATTTTCATTAATTTTATGTTTACTATTCAGTGCCATTAAAATAGTTTTAACTCTTCGAAGCAACTCCTTGTCGATTCCAGTTATTTTTGAAGTAATTTCAAAACCTTTCAAAACCTTCTCGACGTATTACCGTCATTTGTACTACCGCAACTTGAAAGTGGTTTGTCGATGTTTAATCCCATCTGAACTTTAAATTCTTCTTGGATTCTGCTTTTTTCCGCAGCTCTCAGTTCTTTCAATTCTTCATTATTTTTTGTTGATTTAGTAGGATATTTTGTTTTTTTTTTCCTGGATCGCCTTGTATGATGGTAATATATTGTGTCCTTTTTCATGCAGAGCTTTCCTTAATATTTGGTACTTATTTCGACTGAGACCCAGTTCCAACATAAGCGCTATTGCTTCCTCTTCAGTAAAATTTGATTATGATGTTGGAGTTGGTATACTTTCCACAATTCGCTTAAGTCGTTTTGGTGATGCATTAGGAAGAATAGTTGCAATATGTACGACATCCATATGTTGGTTTTCCTTTTTCAGCATTTCGTTAAATGTATCAGCAATTTCCTCATTTGAGATTGAAAAAAGTTTTTGTGTGACCCTCTTTTTTTTTACCTTGAACATAAGTCTTCGTATGACTTGCAAGGCGCTCCTATTGATGTGTTGTAAGTTGAGATTTCCGTAGTAGTTTCCATCCAACTACAAAATTTTAATCGAAATTTCTTTTGATTTCCATCCACAGACTTACTTTTTACATCAAAAAGTTTTAAAAAGTTTTCAATTTTTGATATGCCTGTTTTGTCTACTTTTCTACTATATGTAGTTTTTATATAATTTGAAATGTCTTCAATTCTTTCTGGCCCTTTTGAAGATATACTCCATAAAACGGAACACAACTCTTCGTACTTTAATGTAATCTTCATTGTAGATTTATTAAATATGGTACTTAAAATCTGAGAAGTTTACTTATATACCAATTCTTGTCATTTCCGATACAGGTATTCCAAAGTAAAAAATTACGAATTGTCTACCTATTAACATTTAGGACTATATTACTATAACCTGTAATTCAGTCATTGATATTTCTTATTAGTGAATGAATCGAAATTATCATTACCTGTATATTTTTACCTACATGATCATAAACGAAACAGAACGAAATGATCTGTCGAAAAAATTTAGGTAAAAAATAGTTATAAATTTTTGAAAATTTAAGCATAATAGGACCTTTCAATTATAAGGATTGGCTTGAAATTTTTTGTAAAGGGTCGAGAATTTCCATATCTAACTAAAAAATGATATTAAGGGATAAATATGGACTAAATTGTTGTAGCTATCTTCGATCCTATTAAAATTTTGATATAAATCATAGTTTTAGAAATTAAACAAATATGTAATATATGACAAAATCTTTATTTATGAACAAAACTCAATGAAATTTTCAACGCTTGTTAAATTTGTCATTTCAAATAAGAATATGCAAAAAAAAATTTAAAAGGTAAAAGGGCATCCCGCAATTCCCAAAAATAGGAATACTTTTTTGCCCATAGGGTCCACATTTCTTTCAGGGCTGGGAAAATACTTTTGGAGTAAACTGCTTTCAGTTTTCTGATCCCAGCTTTGGGATTTTAGAACATGTCGCCCAAAGTTGAAGTTTTGATAAAAAATAGGTCATATTCGGAAGGACGCAGTGGCAACATTTTCAAAAAATAGGACAAGTTTTTTACGCCAAAGCGTTCTGCGTAAAGATACCTTTTAGAAAACTATAAAATTGTTATATGTTCTTAATAAAAATTTTATTTTATTAATAAAAGAAGAAAATCTAAAATTTTTTGAATTTTTAAATTAAAAAACGTATATTTTTGGATCTGTAAACGATATTGATGTGAAATTTTTTGTATATTATTGGAAATTTTGTTGTCTAACTAACAAGAAAAAATTGAGTCCATTTGGTGCAAAATTACGCCCGGTATTCAAAAAAAGGCGGACCAAGGTATGGTAAATTTTGTATCACTAAATTTTTAAATGCCTATAACTCGGATATTATAAGAGATAAGTAGTATGTCCAAGCATGTTTTTTCAAGATCTCGTCGAGCGCTTTCACAAAATATAAAATATTTGGGTGAAAAACAAAACAATGGCACGAGTTTAAAAATTTTACAGGTCGTAGGTACCCTACTTTGAGCCGCCACAGCGCCGTCCCTGGGGCATCTGCAGGGTTCATCTTCACGCTCACGCCAAATTTTATCCCGATCGGATCAGCCGTTTAGAAATGCCAGATTTATTTCCAAAAAATTTCCATTCTGCCCCACTGTGCGTTCTGGCTCAATTCTAGTTCAGTTCTAATTCTAGTTCACTTCCCGTTAAGTATTTTAGACACTTTAGCTTTGATTAGTTTTCCTTGAAATTATATCCATCAACTTACCTTAACCGTTTGTTTGTCCTTCGGTAATTTCAAATTTCATACTTCAAATTTAAAATAAAATTTTTGTCTTGAATTTTTGCAAAGTTGTAGTTCGAGTTATGCCAAATTTTGATTCGATTTCGTTGGAACTGAAAGTAGACAAAAAAACACAAACAAATTAGTATTGAAGTAAAAAGATATACATACATCCCTAAATAATATTTGAAATTATATTTTTGCAGCTTAATTTACTATATTTTTTGATTAAACTTCATTAATAAGTAGTAATTCACAACAAGATAGATATTTTCAAAAGAAATTCATTTCAAAATTTAACTATTTTTGAAACAAGTTAAATTTAAACTCTAGCCCACACACATGTTTATTTAATAATTTTAATGAAAAATTTAGCATTAAAACAATTAAACATTTGTTACACTCTAGCAAACAAATTGTTGCTCTACATACAGTAATTTTAAATTTAACTTGAATTTTTTTTCAATTTATACTTTATTAAAAAATAAACTTAATTACATTTTTTTATGTTTATTATAGTTTATTATTATTGGCAAATTATTAATAACAATGTTGTTGATTTTTTTTCAACTAACCAATAGAAACTCTTAAGACAAACGCCAAATACAATTGTTGCATAAAACTGAAAAAAAATTTTTAAATCATTGTAATAATTAAAATCAAATAACGTAATAATGGAGACAATGCAAAAAAAAACTACATAATTATACATTTGGTATGAATAAGGTAAAAGTAAAGACAACTATGTAATAATAATAAAAACAGGTGCGGAAGATATAGTTTAATGGGGGAGGAGGTTCAAAAACAAAGGAATATTTTTCTAAAGAATAGAACTAGAACTGAACGTAGAACTGAACTAGAACTGAACTAGAACTGAACTAGAACTGAACTAGAACTGAAACTAGAACTTGGAACTAGAAACTGAACTAGAACGAACTAGAACTGAACTAGAACTGAACTAGAACTGAACCAGAACTGAACTAGAACTGAACTAGAACTGAACTAGAACTGAACTAGAACTGAACTAGAACTGAACTAGAACTGAACTAGAACTGAACTAGAACTGAACTAGAATTGAACTAGAACTGAACTAGAACTGAACTAGAACTGAACTAGAACTGAACTAGAACTGAACTAGAACTGAACTAGAACTGAACTAGAACTGAACTAGAACTGAACTAGAACTGAACTAGAACTGAACTAGAACTGAACTAGAACTGAACTAGAACTGAACTAGAACTGAACTAGAACTGAACTAGAACTGAACTAGAACTGAACTAGAACTGAACTAGAACTGAACTAGAACTGAACTAGAACTGAACTAGAACGGAACTAGAACTGAACTAGAACTGAACTAGAACTGAACTAGAATTGAACTAGAACTGAACTAGAACTGAACTAGAACTGAACTAGAACTGAACTAGAACTGAACTATAACTGAACTAGACTACTAGAACTGAACTAGAACTGAACTAGAACTGAACTAGACTGAAACTAGAACTGAACTAGAACTAGACTAGAACTACTAGAACTGAACTAGAACTGAACTAGAACCTGAACTAGAACTGAACTAGAACTGAACTAGAACTGAACTAGAACTGAACTAGAACTGAACTAGAACGAACTAGAACTGAACTAGAACTGAACTAGAACTGAACTAGAACTGAACTAGAACTGAACTAGAACTGAACTAGAACTGAACTAGAACTGAACTAGAACTGAACTAGAAACTGAACTAGAACTGAACTAGAACTGACTAGAACTGGAACTAGAACTGAACTAGAACTGAACTAGAACTGAACTAGAACTGAACTAGAACTGAACTAGAACTGAACTAGAAACTGAAACTAGAACTGAACTAGAAACTGGAACTAGAACTGAACTAGAACTTGAACTAGAACTGAACTAGACTGAACTAGAACTGAACTAGAAACTGAACTAGAACTGAACTAGAACTGAACTAGAATGAACTAGAACTGAACTAGAACTGAACTAGAACTGAACTAGAACTGAATAGAACTGAACTAGAACTGAACTACTGAACTAGAACTGAACTAGAACTGAACTAGAACTGAACTAGAACTGAACTAGAACTGAACTAGAACTGAACTAGAACTGAACTAGAACTGAACTAGAACTGAACTAGAACTGAACTAGAACTGAACTAGAACTGAACTAGAACTGAACTAGAACTGAACTAGAACTGAACTAGAACTGAACTAGAACTGAACTAGAACTGAACTAGAACTGAACTAGAACTGAACTAGACGGAACTAGAACTGAACGAGAACTGAACTAGAATTGAACTAGAACTGAACTAGAACTGAACTAGAACTGAACTAGAACTGAACTAGAGTTGAACTAGAACTGAACTAGAACTGAACTAGAACTGAACTAGAACTGAACTAGAACTAAACTAGAACTGAACTAGAACTGAACTAGAACTGAACTAGAACTGAACTAGAACTGAACTAGAACTGAAATAGAACTGAACTAGAACTGAACTAGAACTGAACTAGAACTGAACTAGAACTGAACTAGAACTGAACTAGAACTGAACTAGAACTGAACTAGAACTGAACTAGAACTGAACTAGAACTGAACTAGAACTGAACTAGAACTGAACTAGAACTGAACTAGAACTGAACTAGAACTGAACTAGAACTGAACTAGAACTGAACTAGAACTGAACTAGAACTGAACTAGAACTGAACTAGAACTGAACTAGAACTGAACTAGAACTGAACTAGAACTGAACTAGAACTGAACTAGAACTGAACTAGAACTGAACTAGAACTGAACTAGAACTGAACTAGAACTGAACTAAAACTGAACTAGAACTGAACTAGAACTGAACTAGAACTGAACTAGAACTGAACTAGAACTGAACTAGAACTGAACTAGAACTGAACTAGAACTGAACTAGAACTGAACTAGAACTGAACTAGAACTGAACTAGAACTGAACTAGAACTGAACTAGAACTGAACTAGAACTGAACTAGAACTGAACTAGAACTGAACTAGAACTGAACTAGAACTGAACTAGAACTGAACTAGAACTGAACTAGAACTGAACTAGAACTGAACTAGAACTGAACTAGAACTGAACTAGAACTGAACTAGAACTGAACTAGAACTGAACTAGAACTGAACTAGAACTGAACTAGAACTGAACTAGAACTGAACTAGAACTGAACTAGAACTGAACTAGAACTGAACTAGAACTGAACTAGAACTGAACTAGAACTGAACTAGAACTGAACTAGAACTGAACTAGAACTGAACTAGAACTGAACTAGAACTGAACTAGAACTGAACTAGAACTGAACTAGAACTGAACTAGAACTGAACTAGAACTGAACTAGAACTGAACTAGAACTGAACTAGAACTGAACTAGACTGAACTAGAACTGAACTAGAACTGAACTAGAACGGAACTAGAACGGAACTAGAACTGAACTAGAATTGAACTAGAACTGAACTAGAACTAGAACTGAACTAGAACTAGAACTACAGAACTGAACTAGAACTGAACTAGTAATGAACTAAACTGAACTAGAACTGAACTAGAACTGAACTAGAACTGACTAGAACTGAATCTAGAACTAGAACTAATAACTGAACTAGAACTAGAAACTAGAACTGAACTAGAACTGAACTAGAACGGACTAGAACTGAACGAAACTGAACTAGAACTGAACTAGACTGAACTAGAATGACTAGAACTGAACTAGAACTGAAATAGAACTGACTATAACTGAACAGGTCTCAATATTTTAATTCAATATCTAAACCCCACAACCCCCTATAAAAACTCCTCTCTGATCATAGCGGGTATGCAAATATGTTAAATGCAATTGGATTTTTTTTTTTTTTTTTTTTTTGCTGAGTTTTACAATTAAACACAAATTATATTTGATTGCACGATCATATTAAAGTCACTCTTAAAACAGTATACAAGCTATTGACCAGTCATTTTATCTACCGATATGAGACTTGTAAACACTGTGTTAAAAGGAATGAAACGAGATAAATTATTTAAAATGATTTCATATGAAAACAAAAACAAAACAACTTTACCTCAAATGTAATTAAATATTAAGAGAATGAATGTAACTCTTAATAATTTACATTTATTGTCTACACCAATTACAATGAAATGAAATAATCAAACAAAGTGAATGAAATATAAAATAATTATAATAAATAATTTAACTAAAGTAGTTAAATAATTACAATGATGCAAACAAATTAACATTTGCAACATTTTTTCAAAACATAGTATCAAAGTTTATAAGTTTTAAACCCTCTTCAATCGGCTCTTATAAGAGAAGTTAGAGAAGATCTTTAGTTGAAATTGTGGAAAAGACGCAATTTCTTGCTGTTAGCTAATATTGCGAAATAAAATTTCTAGAAAAATTTTATAAATACTAATTATGAAGAAGACAACAATGTTCATTAATTAATAATGACATTTTCAGATAAACACAATACCAGACTTATAGACAACAAAACAATTGCAAATGATAAAAAAAATGCAGTAATTGGAGCAAAACGTTTTAATTGAAAAACAAAAAGCATTTTTCTTCATAATGACTGAGGCAAATGATACGCCCTCTTTAAAAAGGAGCGTTAATATGGTTAATTATTATATTAGTTCTAGTTCAGTTCTAGTTCAGTTCTAGTTCAGTTCTAGTTCTGTTCTAGTTCAGTTCTAGTTCAGTTCTAGTTCAGTTCTAGTTCAGTTCTAGTTCAGTTCTAGTTCAGTTCAGTTCTAGTCAGTTCTTCAGTTCTAGTTCAGTTCTAGTTCAGTACTAGTTCAGTACTAGTTCAGTAGTTCTAGTTCAGTCAGTTCTAGTTCAGTTCTAGTTCTTAGTTCAGTTCTAGTTCAGTTCAAGTTCAGTTCTAGTTCAGTTCTAGTTCAGTTCTAGTTCAGTTCTAGTTCAGTTCTAGTTCAGTTCTAGTTCAGTTCTAGTTCAGTTCTAGTTCAGTTCTAGTTTAGTTCTAGTTCAGTTCTAGTTCAGTTCTAGTTCAGTTCTAGTTCAGTTCTAGTTCAGTTCTAGTTCAGTTCTAGTTCAGTTCTAGTTCAGTTCTAGTTCAGTTCTAGTTCAG